CAGGGCTGCACCGGGACAGCTCTGAGCTCCAGCCACGGCCTCGTCACCATGGGTGCGCGGGAGTCGGGGGCGCTCCTGGGGGTGCTGGTCGAGGGCAGGTGCCTCGCCTGCTCGGTCACTAAGGGTGACAGGCCGACTAGCTCGTCGACCCTCTGTCCAGGCTGAGGCTCTGTGCCGGACACTGCCGACTCGGGCGTCAGGAAGCCAAACAAGGCCTTGACCCCCAAGGAGTCGCCAGACAGGGAGGCTTGGCCAGGCCCACACAGCCGGCCCTGTGCAGGGCGCCACGGAGGCCTGCAGAGCTGCAGGGGCCACACGGGCGGGAGGAGGCCCGGCCACGGGACACTGGCCACGCCAGCACGGCAGGCAGGCCCACGCCAGGGCCGGTGGGGGGATGAGGGAGTCGGGTGCAGGAGCAGGGCTTCTGGGACCAAGATAAGGGGGGGCCTTTGTCCTGAAGGGGGCGCTATGGCGGGTCTGATACGGGGCAGCATGTCAGCTGAGCCTGAAAGAGGCACCCTGCTCCTGCCGGGCGAAGTGGTGGCCGCCGCAGGGGCCCTCCCAGCCCCCACCCCCAGCCCTACTGCCCCCCGGCTGCTTCAGGAGCTGCCCTCTGATTTGCGGGTGCGCTGGGCCACCCCGTCTTGGCTCGGCCAAGATCACTGCTGAATGCTCAGGCTGCGTGGAGCGGCTGTTACAGCTTCGGCAGCTTTGACACCAGCCCGGGAAGCAGCAGTCCCGCGGGGAATGGGCCTGAGGCCCCCCCGGGCGCTCCGGCCCCGGCCCCTGACAGTGCTCCCGCGCCCGCTCCGAGAAGTGTGCCTGGCTGGGGAGCAGCCCCACCTCCCCGGGGGGCCCCCAGACGGGACAGGCAGGGGTGGCCTCGTCCAGCCTGAGGCAGTTCAGCCGCAGCGTGCCAGAAGGGTCGGGGCAGCCCCCGAGCCTGTCCCTGCCTCGCTGGCCTTCCCAGCTCCTCCTGACCCTCCCTACCCCGGGCCATGGTCCGCAGCTCTGCTCTGCGCCCAGGGAGCCTGGGCTGAGGCACCCCGCTGGCCGCTCCCACGCTCCAGAGCGCGGCCGCCACCGTGGGGGCCCCGGCGCTGGTCGGCCGGGGGCAGTCCCGGAGCCAGAGGCGGCCCAGGGCCCCGGCAGGGAGCCCCGACGCTCTGCTCCTGCGGCCCTCGCCTCCGTGGCTCATCCGGAATAACAAAGCCCTCGGTGGTTGGGCGAGGCCACGGTGGAGCCACTATGTCAGCCCCCAAGAATGTTTCCACTTCCCCCGCCTCGCGACCCCAGGCCAGGCCTGCTGCAGCTGGTCACCCAGTAGAGACCAATTAATTTTTACAGCCTCTGCTCTCAGCCACCCCGCCGGTGAGGTCACTCTTCCCCCCTTAGCTGATGTGTTTCAAAGATGTGGGTGTCCCGAGAAGCAGCCCCCACGCCCCCAGTGAGCTCAGCGCCGGGTCCAGGAGAACGGCTCTGCCGGGCCCCGCGGGGACCCCACCAGCCTCCCGCGCGGCGCCCCCCCGGCCGCAAGCCCCCCCAGCCCCGACGGCACTTGGCTCCCTTTGCCACCTGAGCCACACATCAGTCATTATCTCTTTTTCTGCAAATCACCCCGATTTTTAATTAACGACACGTAATGAGAAAGCTTTCGCCACGAGACATGGAAATCAGCCTTCTTGCCACCAACAGAAGGTGCCTACTGACACACCACCTCGGAATGAGCGGCCCAAACACCAGCCTCGCGTGACTGGGAAGTGAGGGCTTCTGAGCGCCCCCCACTCCCACCCCCCGCCGAGGGCGTGGGCGGCCCGGGCTCACGGGAGAGCGCGTCCGGCGTGCGGAGACGCCAGGCCTGGCGCG